GAGACACCCTGGCTGTGGGAATGGGGCCTGGTGTGCCTGAGACGCACTTCTGTTGGGCACTACACCTAGGAGAGAGAATGCTGGGTCAGAGTAGTCCTGAGTTCAGCACTGGTCACTGCCTAACAGTATTGCAAAGTGGTTATTCCAGTTTATCCAGAACCAGCAGCAGAAGAGTTGTCTCACATCCTGACCAACATTTGTTGGTGTATGCCTTTAAAATTTTAACATTAAACATCTAAACTTAGTAGAGTAAAATAGTATATTTTGAGCTGCTTAAAATTAGCCAATGCTGCCTAATTAGGCCCAGGCCCCATGGCTCTCAGCGCCACGTGCCACAGAGTAAAGTCTTCCTGTGGGCTTCTGGCCCTACCCTGTTCCACTTACTTGTCTTTCCTTGAGCCCACACCACTCTTTTAACTACTGTGATCTTATTCTGTAACTTAAGGGCATATATGTGCTCGACTATAAACTTATGTCCACGGTGGCTGGACTAACTCCCGTCCCCTCAGCAGTGTGCGAGGGTTCCCTTTACTTCACATCCTCATCAGCATTTGTTCTTGCCTGACTTCTGGATAAAAGCCATTTTAACTGGGGTGAGATGATAGCACACTGTAGTTTTGATCTGCATATCTCTGATAATCCATGATGTTGAGCATCTTTTCAGATGCCTGGTTGCCATCTGCATGTCTTTCAAGAAACGTCCATTCAGATCCTTTGCCCATTTTTTAACTGAATTACTAGATTTTTTCCAGTTAAGCTGTTTGAGCTCCTTATATATTCTGGTTATCAATCCCTCGCCAATGGGTAGTTTGCAGATATTTTCTCCCGTTGTCTGGGCTGCCTCTTCACTTTGTTGATTGCTTCCTTTGGGTGCAGAAGCTTGTTAACTTGATGTGACCCCATTTGTCCATTTTTGCCGTTGCTCGTAGAGTATTACTCAAGACATCTTTGCCCAGACCAATGTCCTAGTTTCCCCCAATGTTTGCCTTTAGTAGTTCCACAATGTGAGATCTTAGATTTAAGTCTTTAATCCATTTCGATTTGATTTTTGTACATGGCAAGAGACATTTTACACAACCACAGACTTTTGTAATAACAACAACAAAATACCAGCTTTCTTTCCTTCTCTCTGTACTTCCTCTCAGCTCGCAGCCCTGGCTGGGAGCATCAGTGCAGGAGCGTGTGTGTCTCATTCAGGGATGTGCTTCCAATATTTCACCCCAAGTATGATGTTTTAGTATAAGATTATTCATGCAAACCTTTTTATTGGGTTTTACTTGGTATTAAATGATTTTCTCCATCTATTGAGATGATCATATAATTTTTCCACTTTAGTTTATAAACATGAATTACAATATTTTTATTAGAATGATAACAGGGAGGGTTCTATGCTTGGAATAAGCTGAAACTTGTAACACATTATCGTTTTGACCTATCAGTGTGATAATACTGTGGATTTCCCAATCCTTGTTTACAAGGGAGACTAGGACACAGAGAGCAACAAAAGCTAAACTCCCCAGATGCTCTGTTTGGGCATCAGGTTACTATCTTAGATAACTATATTCAATTCTGTTTGATAAGTAAAAGCAATCCCTAAAAATTAAAAGCCAAAATGAAACCACTTAACCTGACCGTGCAGTGAGTTGGTAGAAGACCTTTATGGGAGCCAAATTATTTCAAGGACATCACCACATGGAATTTGAATGCTTCTATTTAGTGGAAAAAATTTCAGCAAAAAATTTTTTTAAATTATTAGAATAACAGAAGAAATATTTTTTCCCTCAAAAAAAAAAAATGCAAAAAAAGTAAAACTATTTTAAAAAAAAAAATGCAAAAAAAGTAAAACTATTTTCAAAACTATACTGTTCCCGTATCAGTGGCAGCATCGGGATTCTCATTCTGAGGCAGTCACATGTATGGGTGCAAGCACGGATGCATGATCGTAAGACGGCAAATAATTAAGTATGATCATGTTAGAAACCAAGGTTTTCAACATTGAAGATACATTGATAAAAAATGAAAGTAAAAGTCCTTTAATCCTACATTTGTATTGTAAAATCACTATAAATTGATATTTATAGTGTGTGAGAAGAAAAGTGGAAAGAAACAGAAGAGCCATGAGGAGGAGGAGAAGGACCCTTTGGAGTCCCCCACCCAACGGCAGCACAAGGAGAACATGGCGGCACCAGGGGGTGCAGCCGGTGGGCGCCGCTTCGGTCCCAGCACACACCCGGGGCTCTGTCACCTTTCCAGGAAGCGACTTGCATGATCTCTTCAGAACTTTCAGGGGACTTCAGGTCGAAATGATGGCTTTGAATATTATCTTGCCTTTTGAACTTAAATAACTTCTCGGATACGGTTTTAGCTTTTGTGTCTCTTCCTGTATCCTTAAGGAAGTCTGAATGGAATATCCCGAATCAGCGTGGACGTGGCCTGCTCATCTGTCCCACTCACTGTGACAGCTAAGTGCCCAAGAGAACCTTCCACTCCCACATGGCCGGCAGATGCGCTATTAGCACAGGGTTAAAATCCGAAGAATTGATTTTGGTCGACTTTTAGACAGTTTAGTAATTCTCTAGAATGGAAGCTTCTCTGGGGCACACGGGCAGTTTTACAAATGGCAGTGGCCAGCATCCATTGAATGCCTACTAAACAAGTGTCATATATCATCACACACAGGTAAGTGACTCTGTGAGGTCATATTCCTTATCACCCATTTTACAGATAAGGAAACGATATCTTGGAGAGGTGAGCCACCCAAAGGCATAAAGCCAGGAAGTTACAGAGTTAGGTAGACTCATGAGTACGTCTGACTTTAAGTTATCCACAAGGTTGCCTGGACAAGGTCCAGGAGCTTCTGTGTGCCAACTCGACAACACTCCAGAATTACCGAAATCCGCACTGAATAATGAGAGCCCTTAGCGATACAAATGTTTCCAAAATACACCAAAGAAATAACTTGTGCTCCCCGTGGAGGACTCTCTAAGCTACATGTGGTCCTCTAACACAGGCTTTAAGGGAAACAATACTCAACAGTAAAACTAACCGAACTGTACTGACTAAATAATGTCTTTGACGATCCCACGAGTTAGTACCGTCATATGACATTAAAAACAGACACATGCTGAGAAATGCATCGCTGGGTGGTTTTGTCCCTGTGTGAACATCACTCAGTGCCTTACACAAACCTCAGTGGTGCAGCCGCCGACACCCTGGCTATATGGCACAGCCTATGCTCCCAGGCTGCAAACCTGGGCAGCGTGTGACTGTACTAAACGCTGTAGGCAACTGTAACACAATGGTAAGTATTTGTGTATCTAACATATCTAAACGTAGAAAAGGTACAGTGAAAATATGGCATTATAATTTTATGGGACCACTGTCATATATGCAGTCTGTCATTGACCAAAACGTTATGTGGCACATGACTGTATCTTGAAAAAGTAAAAGATTATACAGATCATAGAAAATAAACGAAATCCCATAAACAGTCAAACTTGCTTAATAAATCTGAAAATAACCGTTTAAGTACAGAAATTTGGTTCATGTACATATACATGTACACACACACATACATGCATGTACCTGTAAACACACATACATGCAATGCACACACACACGTATACACATACATATATACCTATACATATTATATATACACATATACTTACATTACAGGTATATAAACACACATATACAGTCTCCAACTTAAGATCGTGTGACTTAAGATTTTTTTTACTTTAACGATGGGTTTATCGGGGTACAGGTTGAGTATCCTTTATCTGAAATGCCTGGGACCAGAAGTATTTTGAATTTCAGATTTTGCAGTATTTGTATATACACAATGAGATGTCTTGGAGAGGGGACACAAGTCTACACATGAAATTCATTCATGCTTCATACACACCTTAAATACATAGTAGCCTGAAGGTAAATTTATATATTTTTTATAATTTTCTGCAGGAAACAAAGTTTGCGTGCAATAAGCCATCAGAAAGCAAAGGAGTCAGGTGTGTAATTTCCCACTTGTGACGTCATGTCAGAGATGAAAAAGTTTCAGGTTTAGGAGCTTCTCACGTTTCAGATTAGGGATGCTCCATCTGTATTAAATGCACTTTCAATGTAGAAGGTGCTTATTGGGACATAAGCCTGCTGTAAGTTGAGGAGCATCTGTAGATGCACACGTTTGCAAAATGCAGCATGGTGCATGATCCACAAGCTTCAAACACCAGAGCGATGCAGAGTGGAGGCGGCTGTGGAGACTCCGACAGGTGACGTCGGCATTGTGGCACTTAGTAACAAAAACAGGCAGGAGACTTGTGACTCTCATGAATGTTGCTGTTTTTATTTTGTGAAACAGGATGATGATGACAGTGAGGGTGGCCCCTCTCTCTTTACAACTGTCAGTGATTTCTCGGGACTTCAAACGCAGTATAGGCACATCTCAACCTGTCTGACAATTTTGGCAAGTAAGTTATTTGTTGGCATTGGTGATTATCGTGTGTGGCAAGGAGTTCATTATTCAAATAGATAAATTCACAAGTGTAAAGGCCATACCTCAATTTCACGCTGTTTCTTTTTCTCTTCAAACTGTAATCGTCTCTGCAATTCTTCCAGAGCAGCTCTGTATATTGCATCTTGAGCATTCTGAAGTTCAATAATTTGATCAAACACAGCTCTAAGTTGATTTAAGAGTGCCTGAAAGAGATGACAATGTTTTATGAATAGAGCCTCAACAAGCTAAGTTTCTTAAAACATTGACATTTAGTGAAAAGATATAAAAGATATCAACTAAAATTCCCAGAGTGCTCATTAGCTGTTCAATCATTCCCTCGCCACACATATCCTGAGCCCTCCGGCTGAGCAGTGCTGTGCTGGGCACCAGCAAAACGAGACCGTCCTGCACCTGCACCCGTAACAAGAGCAACTGTGACTGCCCGAGTCCCACGGTGGGCCAGGAGCTCTCTGCAAATCATCTCCAGTCCTCACAAGTTTACAAAAATGAAGTTCTGCCCAAATTTCAAAGCTAGATAGCAGGTAGTAATGAGTAAAACTATTCCAAGACTTAAAAACGAATAGGAGCCGGGCGCGGTGGCTCACGCCTGTAATCCCAGCACTTTGGGAGGCTGAGGTGGGCGGATCACGAGGTCAGGAGATCGAGACCATCTTGGCTAACACGGTGAAACCCCGTCTCTACCAAAAATACAAAAAATTAGCTGGGCGAGGTGGCGGGCACCTGTAGTCCCAGCTACTCTGGAGGCTGAGGCAGGAGAATGGCATGAACCCGGGAGGCGGAGCTTGCATTGAGCCGAGATCGCGCCACTGCACTCCAGCCTGGATGACGAGCAAGACTCCAGTCTCAAAAAAAAAAAAAAAAAAAAAGAATAGGAAAGCATCTCCATTTTTCTTTAGATACAGCAAAAGCAGGTAATCAAAAGTATGAGAAAGGAAGTACTTAGTAAAATATAAAAAGCAAATTCAGCAAGGTTTTTAAAAAGTGTATCATATTTTATACCAGGAATAAAAGGATACCTTAATATGAGGAAAAAACTCCTAATGTTTTAAACAAATATCAATGTCACAGCAGGGATCTCCCGTTCATTGCTTATAACTACTGTACAGTAATCTTCAGTAAACAACTACTGTACTTCATTAATCTTTCTCGTAGTGTGGCATGGAAGGACACAATGAAATCTACAGCACAAAATCATTTACATAAATTAAAAATGTATCCACAGAAAATACCATCTATATACCCAAGGCCATACAGCAAACACATTAAAACCGATGCAAACAGCAGGGAAGGGGGTAGAGGAGGGTGGAATTGGAGTATTGGCAGGGCAGAGGATAAAATTAAACCTAAAAAAATATGAGAGGCTTTTCATGGACCACTGATGGCAGTGTGCTATGACTGAAGAGAAAGGTTAACTCTACCCTCTGCCATCTTAGGTTTGAAAAAACACACTAACAGTCTGAGGGCAGAGCGGGGATTAATTTCAATAGTGCAGAAGAAAACTGTGATAAAATTCAACACCCACTCATAATTTAAATAAAGCATCTAAGCAAACTAGGAGTAGGGCAGAACCCTCTTAGTTTGACAAAGGTCCTATCAAATGTCTTTGCAAACAAAACAGCCAATGGTGAAGCAACAAAGCATCACTTTAACGTCAGGAATAAGACTGGGATTCCCTTTGTGCTTAGAGTCAGCCTAGCTAACACTCTGAAGCGTAAAAAAGAAGCAAAGGCAGACTGTGTGGAATGAAAGAAACAAAACTGGTTTTATTTATAAAAAATATGCGCCAAGAAAATATTAGACTAGAAAACTTAGAGATCAAAGTAATAAAATCAATACCATTTCAGACCAGCCAAATTTCTCAAATGTAGCAATAATGTAACAAAAGATTTGCAAGAAGTTTATAGGAGAAAAATGACACAACTGTACTTGAGAAGCATAAAGGAAACCGAGATAACAGGAGAGGTTCCAAGCCTGTGGTTGGGAAGACACAATACAGTCGATTTGGGGAGAAACTAAGAAGTTGAGTTAACTCTATTTTTAACACAACTTTACAGTTAATGAAGATATTTGCAAAGCCACTTCTCACCACCCATCGTCTAATGGACTAATACTATTCTGCAAAAATATTTTCCGTTATGAAAGGCTGGCGATGCTTTGGTTCAAAATGCATTTGTAAGTCACAGCAGCACCATTCAGAGCTGAACTAACGTCTGATCTCAAGTGAGACAAAGCTGAAATGAGTATTTGCTGACTGGGTTTTGGAACAAACGGAAGCAGGAGAACTTGGTATTGGGCAGTGAACAACCCATGCTCTCTTTCACTCACTACAACGCCCTTATGCAAAATCAGGTCTCCAAAGTACATGGCAACAAAAACAATGTGGACTGATTTGGCAAATGACAGAAGGATGTGATCAAGGGATGCTGTTCCTAACATAAAACCACCACATGATTAATGCGGTAAACACATCTTCCATCTTACACGTTCTCATCTTAGAAGCTGTTCTGTCCTTTTGACAGGATCTTAAATAAGCAACAAAAAAGAGACGGATTAATCTGTTGTTTTTAGTAAAGATTTCTCTAATTTGTTTCTTTATGTAGTCTAATAAAGAATAATTTATTATCTTTGGAAGAGTTAATCTATCTACAAGGTGATCCATTGACATCGACTTCAAGCTCAGGCTGCCAGGCAGGGCTTTGCTGGCAATCTGTCTGCACAGGGCACCTGCAGGAGGCCGTTCTTTGGCAACCTCAGTGGTACCAATTCACAATTTCTCTCAACAATGCACAAACAAAAACCACAAAAACAGGCACAGACTCCAGCTTCAAAATTACACGTATCAGAACCGTCTTGGTTTTCTTAGTGCGTGACATAATAAAAATGTTCTACTTAAAATTGCTTATGTCAATAATGGATTCTTTTAATCTGCTTTACATACTGGGTTTCTTTTTATTAAAAAAAAAAAAACAAAAAACCTCATTTTAAACAAATCATCAAATCAGGAGAAAAGCCATCAGCAAAGGCAAGTTCAGAAACGATCATGAAGCCTCTGGCATGACTCCTTCAATGACGTCAGGTGGGAGCAACGCACACACGAACACCCCACTTCCCACTTTCACAAGAGCACTGTGCTACAAATGGGACAATTTTTCTCCCCCAGATAGGGTTCTTATCAGTGGAAGCTGTCTAGGGGCAAAAGCTATGACAATTTATCTTGTACAGAATGTTCATACCTGTAGGCGGGCTAAATCTCCTACATTATCTGTCAGCTGTGTGGAGTGTTACTTATTTGCCACAATTGGACTGATACCAGTATGGGTCTAGTCCTCAGTAGTTCAAACATTTTCTGAAATGCATGAAATCTAGTGACTGTAAACACCTCTGTAAAACACACACCCAGGCACAAAATAGCAACTAACACCTATCTGCCAGTCACTATGGTCAACATTATACTTGAATTATATAATTCTTACAAATCTATTGAAGAGACTAGGATCACGCCCTTTAAAACAGAACGCTGGAGTCAAAAGCTATGAAGTGAAACTGAACCCTCGGTCTACCTGGCTACAGAGCCCGTGTCTGTCTTGCCATGCAACTGCACTGTGAGACAGGCCATGCTGGCCAATGGCACACGAGTCTAGGAACACAGAGCTATTTGTTACACTGACGTCCTAAACGTGTGCGGACGATGCTCATCAGCATCTACTGAATAGAGAGAGGCAACAGCTGGCAGTCACCATGAAACCTTCTGTGGTTTTAGTCCAATAACAAGACCATGGTTAGTAACAGAGGTTTCAAGGGCCTCAAACCTCAAGATGTATATTTCTTTAATTATTAATTATCCTCGAAGTATTTTATTTTTCTGACATAATTTCCACATATTTATAAAAACATGTAAAACATTCCATATAGAAGCAGCTTTGATCTCAACCACTTTTTGACATGATAGTTCTTTAATAATGAAATTCATGGCTGGTTAACCTACATATACTAAAATTTAGATGAAGTAACGGCCCTGAAGTGGTGTGTTTTCCACTGACAGGCCCCGAGGAGAGTGCAGGCCCAGCTGGAGGCAGCCTCCGCCAGCCGGAAACGTCTGTGAAGTCACGGAGTTCATGTCAAAAATGCATTTGATATTTGCCCCCTACTTCACAATATATTTGCTTTAAGTGAAAGCAATGTGGTTCCTTCTTGCCCCAGACCTCAGGATAAAAGCAGAACTCTAGAAGATTTGCCACATGGAACGTGCAACTTTCAGAACATGGACCCTACAGGAAAAGAATGTTTGCAAAAAATGTCATACATGTTACCATGTGTTTTGTTTCCTTTTTTTTTTTTTTGAGACAGAGTCTCACTCTATTGCCCAGGCTGCAGTGCAATGGCATGATCTCAGCTCACTACAACCTCTGCCTCCCAGGTTCCAGTGATTCTCCTGTCTTAGCCTCCCAAGTAGCTGGGATTACAGGCACACACCACCACTCCCGGCTAGTGTTTTCGTATTTTTAATAGAGACAGGGTTTCACCATGTTGGCCAGGCTGGTCTTGAACTTCTGACCTCAGGTGATCCACCCGCCTCGGCCTCCCAAAGTGCTGGGATGACAAGCGTGAGCCACCGTGCCTGGCCTGTTTTGTTCTTATATTGTGTTGCTTATTTTGTTCAGATATTAACCTCAAAACTCATGGTTTTCTCTTTTGAATACCACAATAGGATATCATTATATCTAGAAAATGAAAAGGCATTATTATTTCCTGCCATTTTTATATCTAGTTTAGAGTATATTCTTGTTTCAGCACTACTGCACTACTGTTCCAGTTCTGTTCAGAAACTGTACCTTCAACATTAAACTTGTAATAAAATTATGTGAATTATTGCCAAAGTGGCTGCATCAGGGGATTTCTAAGATTCCCTCACTTGACAAGAACCCAAGAAAAGAAGATTATTCTTTTGGTTTCTTGTTTCTAAGCAGGTCGGAGTCTTACCCGGGAGTCACCGTCCAGCAGGCAGCGGGAGATGATGGTGTCTAAGAACACCTCGTGTGCAGCAATGATGTGATCCAAATCCTGGGCCTGTTGGACTTTGTTCCAAAGCTCATCCCAAGAACATTCAAGCACCTGCGAAACAACAATTTAAAGATGCTAGATAAGCTCATGTTCTTCCTAGTGCAGCATCACTCATAAAATATATACCACGTATGGGAGGCCGAGGCAGGCGGATCACCTGAGATCAGGAGTTCGAAACCAGCCTGGCCAACATGGCGAAACCCTGTCTCTACTAAAAATACAAAAATCAGCTGGGAGTGATGGTGTGTGCCTGTAATCCCAGCTACTCAGGAGTCTGAGGCTGGAGAATCGCTTGAACCCAGGAGGCGGAGGTTGCAGTGAGCTGAGATCATGCCATTGCACTCCAGCCTAGGCAATAGCAAGACTCCATCTCAAAAAAAAAAAAAAATATATATATATATATATACACACACACACACACAAACACACACATATATATACCCACATATATATATACCATGTAAAACATACATATATACCACATATATATATACCAAGACATGACTTATTGAAACTAAAATCAACATAGTGACTGAAGTGTACCTCAAATGTGATGTAATACTGCATCTGATGAATGAAATGGACCATCTCAGAGGCCAAAACATGACACTGGTGCAGCACCCCAGAGAACTCTGCAAGGGAAGAGCTGATGTCAGAGGTGCACTGCAGGTACACTTACCGACAACGTGCTGTTCTCCCTTACCCACCTGCAAGCTATCTGAAAACAAAAAATCAGTCATTTAAATTCTTGACCCCTTAACAGGAAAAAACCTCTCCATAACCAATTTCTGAACATTTCAAACTAAACAAGAATTGAGCTATCTAACCAAGTAGTACTATATTACTTTACATAATAGGAGCCTAATAAGGAATACATGAAACAAAATATAATTGTATTTAAAAATTAAATACAAAACATTTATTTTATAATAATGCAGTGCACTGAATAAACAGAAGCTCTGCTTCATGGCTTTACAATTAGTCTGCCTGCTGTGCGTGAAACATTTACTATTCCCTTGCTCTTTGGAGATAAAGGTGACATTTCTTTAAGGAACCGACTGTGGCCTTACCGCCTGTGAGAAAGAGGAGCCTCGAGGGAGGTCAGGGACGAGCTCAGACTCTCCTTTTATCCTTTAGGAGATCACACAACCATCACCAGGCTGGAAGGTCACCACAGAGCACAGTTCTCTGCTCGCACTTTTAATTTTTTGTTCAAAGACTATGGCAGCATATTGTTACACTAATGTTATGTGATGGCTCAAATCAGAGCTAGGCCCATCAGTGAGGTGATTACAAATCAGAGCTAGGCCCATCAGTGAGGTGATTACAAAAAGGCTTTGTAGCACAGGTCAGCTTGGACATGTTTTGTTACTGCTTCAAATGCCCTCAATGAGTTACCTCGATAACGAGATCGAGACTTGCTACTCATGCAGTTATGTGAGACGTCAGTCTTGCCTCTTCTCAAGAGAGGAAAGAAGTAGTGGGACTTAAGCCTCTTTATAGAGGTGTGTAAAAATAACAATGGCAATGCAAACTTTTTAAAAACACTCTTTCTGTAAGTTGAAGATTAACTGACACCTTGCAGTTTTGCTGTCTTGGTTTAACACTTGACAGCCCAGTTAGTAGAGAAAAGTGGGAGAGGAGGAGACAGAATTCTAAGCCTTATAAAAATGTAAATCCTTAAACAGATGATCAACTTACACAAGCATGAAATATGTATGTGAATTGCATGAACGCTGTCCGAAAGCACAGATTCCACTAACAGGCAGCATCACCACCTGACCCTGGCGCCCGGTCTCCAGGGACGCGCCGTGCACCAGGGAGAGGAGGAGGGCCCACTGCAGAGGAGGACACTCCTCACCTCCCTGGTGCCTGGGCCTCAGGACGGGGCTAGAATTCTCGAACACAGAGGGCTCAGGTGAGGGAGAACCAGAGAGGTGTAAAGCAGACATTAATATACATTATATACCAGCACCTACCTAAATGAAATAGATGGCAGCCAGTAAGAAAGATGTTTAAAAAAAGAAATTTCAAAAGACAAAAAAAGAACTTGCTTTCAAAGAGGCAGAAGAATTTTTAGTTAGGGATCACTGATGGCAGACTCAGACAATGCACCTTTCAGAAGGAGCAAATTCATTTTTTAAAGAGAGGGATGACACACTGTCCCTCAGGCAATGAACAGGCGGGAGGTGGCAACCCAACCAACCAGGAGCTCCAAAGGGCCCTCGTCCACATCCATGTGCCACCCAGCGCCTCACAAGGGAACACACACACTCAAGGGCTCAAGTGCCTCCCCTGCCAATGGCTATGACTGATGTATCAGAGGCATATCCAAGATTTACTTATGAAGTTTACAACTCTGCAAAGAATCCTCAGCGCTCCTTACATGGCCCCACAGACAGTTAAACACAGTGAACTATAGTGTCCACAGCCATGAGATGCACTTTCAGCTCTAACACCCTCAAAAGAGACCCAGCTGCCCTCAGACCTGTGACATCTGTACTCACGAGGCTTCCTGCAAACCTGTGACATCTGCCCAGCATCTGTACTCACGAGGCTTCCTGCAAACCTGTGACATCTGTCCAGCATCTGTACTCACAGGGCTCCTGCAGACCCGGGATATCTGCCGGGCATCTGTACTCACGAGGTTCCTGCAGCACAGTGTGCACTCCACATACCCCAAGTATCCTTCTTGCCATTAGGAATCTACAACCCACAGATATGGTCAATGTGTATCCGAAGAAAGGGTTCAGCTTTGAGGTTCATCTGAAATCCTAGAATTCTAAGTGTACTTTTCCCTACTAAAACTATAAATATGAGTCTAAGATTTCTAATCGAATAATACTCAAAACCCCTCGAACTACAATTACTTTTCAATGTAAAGGGGTATAATAAAGTGTTGTTTTAAGTGATGTTCAGCCATGTTATGGTTTCAGTAAGATTCTAAGGAAAATACCACTTGTACTGAATTTTAGGTTTTAACGCAGAGCTCAAATGAGAGGACTGTGTCTTCTCCCACTGAAGTCACTGGACTATAACGGAAAATCTACAGCCAGTCTTCCCTGGAGAACGGTGAGTATTTAAAACATTCTACAGGTGCACAGAGCGTACATAGATTTGTCCTCAAGATATTTCTCGGATGTGATCCGATTTCTCTCCAGTGCAGCAAAGTTATACGAAATAGTTTAGAAACCACTTGTGGAAGGTTTTTGTATTTTTATGTTAATATCATCACAGAACTGGTGGATCTTTTCATTGGGAAACAAAGTCACGAATTCTACAAGTCACAAGCCACGACTCGCAGGTCTCACCCTGACATCGATGTCTCCATCGACCCCTCCCAGGTACACGCTCAGTGTGACCCGAAAATTTAGCTGTGCACCTGTGCACAGTGAGTACAATCTGTTTTATTTTCTACCTTTTCAAGCAACTATCCAGGTTATACTTATCCATCCTGACCTCTTTCAGAGAACGTTTAAGCCGACTGACAAAACTGTAGATTTCATCAAAAAATGAAAGGTGAAACTTCACCTAAAAGTTTACCTTCACCTAAAAATGCGAAGCCGGCTACTATCAGCACTTTCTCTGAGGGACTCTAGATTTGTTACAGAAGCATAAAAATTTTTTGTGGCTATTCTCCATTTTCTAGCCCCTGCTGGGTGCTCCGCGCGTGACAGAAGCAGCTCAGTCCCATGAACGCTCAGGGCTATACTGCTCTGCTCCACCTGCATTTCTGAGGCTTCCTCCAGAGTTCTTTTCAGGGTCAGTCAAGCCAGCAGCATCTGAGTAACATGCCAGTTTTTCATGGCACGAATATGCTTTTGCTAACATCTTCTACATTTCACTGTTGCTCTATTAAGAAACCAGAAATTTTTTCTCTGGCTTCAAATCAATCTGAAAGTAGATACACAGTGATTAGTGACTAAATCACTAATTCTGTTTCAGAATCTCTGATTTTCTTGGGTGTACAATTTCTCTGATTAATGTTCTAGATTCTTTAATGTCACACTGGGAAATAAAAATGCTACTGAATGGCCATAAAACAGAACAAACACATCTACCAAACAACACTGTCATGCCATGCTCAGTGCCACCTAAACTCCTGACATCCCACTCCAGCCCATCCCAGTGCTGCCTGGGGCCTTCCCCTTCTCTCCCTCACTCCCAGCCTCACCATCCCGCAGCCCTGGCTCCACCAGGTTTGCACTGCTTCGCTGTCTTGGCCTCAGCTCTGCCTGCATCCCTCGTGCCCCCAGTCACTCCAAGCCCGCCTCTCCCTCCTAGCATGCTAACCTCTCCCTCCTTAAAGGCTAACCCGAACCCCTTACTCTGAATCCATCTGTTCCTCCTCTGTGATTTTCAGCCTCCACTTCCTTCTCCATATGGGCATTTTAAACAGCCTCCCAACAAACAAAGCGTCTAACTTCGTTAGAAATTCTGACTTTGATTTTGCCCAACTCTTCCATAGTATATCTTTAAATTTTCAGATGCTATACGGCAGCTCCGAAGGGGTCTGTTAGTTGAAAAGGTATCGTGCACCACGACAGACAGGTCTACAGCCCCCGCCCCAACCCCATCTTCCTCCTAGCCATGCCATCCTGTGAGACTGCAGTTCCCACTCACTGATGTCCCTTCCGCATTCCACTCCACAACTTCAAGTATATCCAGGCTGATGACACCGAAAACATTTACCTCTAGATCTATCTTAAGTTTAAGACCAGTCTAATTAATGGCCTCACAAGGTATCCTAAAAAATACCTCAAATTAGCGTATTTGAATGGGATCATTATCCCCCTCAAAGAAGCTCTTCCTCCAGTGCTCCCTGGGTGGTAAAAGATGCCACCACCCACCAGGTCCTCAAGTCAGAGACCCAGGTGCCACTGAGACTCCAACCACCTCCTGGCCTCCGTACACGCATCACCTGGTCCTGCTGGCGCCACAGGCCAAGTCACCCTCAAATCCATTCCCTTCCCTCCAGCCCCGCGGCTGCTGTAACCATAAAGGCCAACATCACTGCACATGGATTATTACAACTGTCTGCCCTGCTAATCGCCACGGTCGCGCCCCAGGTTCATTATTCTCAGTAACCTGAATCCAGACCTTCAGGACGTGCTCCCGGTTGGGCTCCCCGGCCCCATGCTGGCAGCACAGTCCCCCTCCCCAGCTTTGCCGAACATGCTGCTGTCCTCCCCACTGACCCGAAGAGCTCATCCTCACCTGTCAGGGCCAGACTGGACACCATCACCTCTGGAGCCTTCGGGAACCACCCCCACGTCTGTCAGATGCCTCATTTAAACATTCCCATGCCACTTGGATTTTCCCGTATTGATTGACTGTAAGTTCCTGTGTAAATGTCTGCTCTGCCCTAACAGGTCATGAGCTGCTTAGCCACAGGGAGCTGGTTTGTCACACCGTTACTGGGAACCAGCAACAGAGAGCACTAAGTGGGCCCTCAATGATGATTTCCTGAAAAAAATGCGTGATTTGGACACTCAACGTCAGAGCAGGCAGTCTGCATTCCTTCAGATCTTGAGTACACAAACTCACACCTTTCAAAAGGTTTCTATAAGCAAGGTCAATTTAGCAACAATGTGAACATAGGTGTTCTTTCCTTTTACAGTCTTAAAGTACT